TGGTTGTAACTTTAAAATCTGTATCAGTTCTCTTCATTTTTATCAATGCTAAGCATCCTGGTCTAAGCTACCATTGTCTGGACTATTGTGATAGCTTCCAAATGTTCGGCCTGTGCCCATCCACCCCACTGGGGCCAGTAAAATGGCTCCCACTTGGAAGTTTTTATACTGCTCTTAGGATACAGATAAAATTCATACTCTCATCCTTAAAGCTCTGAAGAAAGGTGGCACGTGCTCCACAACTCAACCTGACAGCACTTTTGCTTTTGTTCTTTCTCATGACCAATGCTACTCTAAAATGTTCTCTCATCATGCAAGGTCCTTTCTTTCCAAGGCTCTGTAAGGATAGTTTGCTCTACCCAGACATTTCTACCATCTCTTCCATCTTTGACTTATTAATTTATTAATCTTAGCTCAACCTATTGCATCAGGGAAATCTATACTCTTAAATGATTGAATTTCCTCTGTAGTAGTCTCCTGTTAGATTGTCGCATTTGTTTAACTGCTTCTCCTATTAGCATCTGGCTCCCCTGAACCGTCAAATGTGTGGGCAGGAACTCACTCCATCTTTGGTCTCTCTTGTGTTGCCTGTGTCTAGGACAGTGGCTGGTACCTAGCTGATGCTTCATCAATAGGAGCTGAATGAATGAATAACATGATCATAGGAGAACATAATTGTGTAGAAAGGAAGACAGAAAAAAAGGGAAAAGAAGACAGGGAAGCAGTAGAGGTAAGAGGAAGCAGTAAGAATAAACAGTGATCCAACAGTGATTCTGGACTTGGAGAGGTCCACCATAAGGACCATTTGAAGAACAACTTTAATAACAGCATGAACAGACTTTGTGGTGTGACTTATTGTGAGGGTCAGCTGAACACACTTTTAGAAAAGAAGCCAGAGATGTGTGCCTTTGTGTAATTTTGATCAAGCAAAAGTTTGTTTTCTCTTTTAGCTTCCAAGTTGTCTCAATTAATTCACTTACTTGAACAACTTTAAAATTTAATGAACAACTGAATGGAATTTTAGTTTAAGCACAGACTATAGTTATTTGCTAACTTTGTTAACCTCTGAGTTTGGGCATAACACCAATTTTGAATGATTTGTTATGTAGGAATGGATAATTTAGCCAACAATTTATTTTTATTTATTTATTTTTTTTA